TTTCATTTACCTATTTAAAATTTTACTTATGAAATATACAAGGCTTAACATTTTTCAACATTAAATTTAAAATATCAAATTCTTAAAATTTTAAGCATAAATTTCGGTATATCGTACATACATAATATTAGTTACTCAAATTATTATTAATGTAAAAAGAAATATAAAAGTAATAAACTACGATTTTTCTTTGTAAATATTGACATCTATTTTCAAGTTGACTAAAAATTGAATTAAATTAAATAGATAAAATATTAAATAATAACTAGCATCGCTGTTCAATGTTTATCATGGCAAAAAGCCAATAATGTTGTATTATGTATACGTATGTACCTACAAAGTAATAAGGTGTCAACACTGTCAACGCTTAAGAACAATTTATCATATTGTAATACTAGTTTAATAGTGATTAATAACACATAATAAGTTAATTTAAGTATAACAATTATACGAATAATTGTTATTGTGACAATGGAATAGCTAACAACAAATAAGGGCTGTAGCCCATAAGCGCAAAATATGACCCGAACGCTACCCAAAAGCCTAACAATGTCAGGAACTTTATTGTTTTTAAAATTGCATATTTAATAAGAAATAAGAGTATAATTTGGATTTGGTTTATGTACAATACACTTGTCATTGTTTTTAAGAACAAAAAATTCCTTCTATTTCTGTTATAATTCTGTCACTTAAAGAGTACCAATTTATTGTAAATTAAATTTATGTTATGTGGAACTTTTGAAATATTATTATTTTTTGTTAACGTAAAACCACTAAAATTCCTAGAATTGGTCAAAATCTAAAAATAATCTGATTCAAGTAAATTTAAATTATGAATCAGATGTATAAATACGGTCATTCATATTATGTAATAAAATATTTTATTATAGGTATATTTTATAATTTATAAATAACAACTAATTTTTTAATATACAAGTAACATTTATGTTATTTTAACATTGATAATATTATTAGATAATAATTGTAATATTATTCATACTGCAACCGATCTTATAATAATATGACATGTTGAAATGCGTATTTTATAACATCAAATAACTTTCTGGCAATAAAATCAATAAGCTATTTAGGCATGGAATTCTAAACAAAAGTTAAGTAATTATTTATGTTTTTAAATTGTTATATAATTTGTCTCACATATGTTTTTTATAACAAAAAAATAAAATTGCTATTAGCGTACAAATTCCCAGATGATTATAAATCGATTAAAATTGAAGGACAGTATTATTATTAGTATTTTTATCATTCAGATTAAATCATCCAAAACAAGACTGTTTTATTAACGATGACGTATATAAACATTTAGATATATAATAGTTAATTCATATGGAAGCGATATTACATTAGTTTATTGTATATTATACAATATGAAATAGAATTCGAAAGTAGGTTGATAAATATAACAGGAACTATTCATATGACTTCAATGTGGTTTTAAATATTATGAATAAATGACTACAGATATTTATAAATTGAAATACACTTTCCACTGGAAATAAACCAACTCATCAATAAACTACAGGCACGTGTGTCATTATATTATGTATTACTCGCCCACTCGATATAAAAAATATATTTTAAAATTTTGTCTCACTGGTATGAACATAAATCTGAAACAAACTATATTATTATGTTTTCAATTATGATGTGTTCTTAAACATTACAATCGAAGAACCATTCAGAGCGAAGATAGATTGAAAAAAGCATTATTATTTGTTGTTATTGTATTTAAATATTACAATCGTTATCACTAATTTTATGTAACTCATATAATCATATGAGTTTTGTTAGGTAACAATGAAAATAATATGTACGTTTTTTCTATCTCTATTTTCAAGCTTGGTGGTTAGTTTCTACTTTTAATTTTTAATAAAATGTCATTCCTAAGCACGTATTTCAAATGTATTTATTTCACTGGGTAATAACTAAATTAGCATAAATATACGTTTAATTCGTTAAAATTTTGCTAGCGCTTTTCCTGCTCTTGGTCGTTAAAATTTTGTCTGTTACACAGAGATGTCTGCTATTTAGAGGTTTCAGTTTGCAGTTTGTCTTGAAAAAAAAATTCGCTATATGAAAATATCCGTTAGGGGTGATTTCACTGTAGTATATATACGAACAGCTACACAAAAACGGTTTGGTCTTGAATCGTTCGGTGAAAACCATTTTTGTAATATTGATGATCCTACTGAGGATTGCTGGCTTATAGAACTTTATTTTGAAATTTACACTCGAATACGTTTAAAAATAGTCGATATCAAAAAAATGTGCTTACGAAATCCAGCAAGATTATAAAACTAAACTTGGAAATTAATCATGAACTAAACCACTAATCTACCACTAACCATGTATTGATTACTATAGGTAGGTGCTCACGAAAAATGGATCATCTGCGGTTTTTTTTTATTGGTCAGCTGATTTCTTGAAATAATGCGCCGGGCTTTGTGGAGCATCAATATAGAAAGCATAAGTTGTTAAGACCTTACTATATTATTCACTGATTTGTGGTAAAATGTAAAAATAGACAGTTTTATACGTGCTTCTACGACCTTTATTTTGAAATCATATTATATATTTATATAATATTACTTGTGTAATATTGATATTGAATAGTATAGAATATAATTCGTAATTTGCAGTATGATACGATGTTTGGTAAACAACTATTGAATTAAATATCATAACATAATATAAGTCAAGTATTTTCGATGATTATACGAAGCTATTATACCAATAAAATTGGCAAATGGATAGCAGTTTAACCTATCTGAATATTGTCGGTATTATTAGTATTACTATGACGAACGCATTATAAAACATTTGGATATGATTATAACGCAGACGTCTTCGTTGAGTAGATATGCGCCCTGGATAACCTGGAAATGCATTACATTTTTACATTTATTTAATCAATAAAACAATTTTTATATTTATTAATATAATAACCTAACCTACCACTAACCTATTTTTATACATAACATATAATATTCATTTATATATTGTACATAATACCTATTATTTGACTCCATGCACTTTATTGCCCGTTAAAAATACCAACTTTATATTATAATATGATCCAAACTTTGTTTAATTTGTAATTATTAATATTCGGTGTAATATTGTGTTCAAAACTTAAACATTTTTATTGACCATCTTGAATCTCAAAAAATTTGTGCAAGCACATCACTTTAAAATACGAATTTCGTTAAAATGCTTTTTTATTGCACACTAACCATGAAAAGAGCAAGCCTAAAGCTATGATTGTTCAGGCTCCATATTTATCATCAGTTAGTAAGTCAGTCAGAACACGTTCGATTATAATTTATATTATATTATTAAAGCCATTCCACTTGGCGTTGCCCGTAAGACTCGCTTATGATTATGCGAGCAGTATATTATCAGGTAAGCAAAATAAAATACTAAAAATACTGAAAAAATAAAAAAAATTAAATAAAATACAAAATACTGCATTTTATTGGCGAATCTCGGTTTTTGAACAATATCCTAAAGTTTCATCGCAATCGGCCATAACACTTCTAAACTTTGTGTTTTTTTCCGCGCTACGTCGTATGCTATTAAAAAATAAACATTTATAAAGAAAAATTACTTAATTAACTTAAAGCATTGATATTAAGCCTAAAACTTGGTCCATAATATTCTTTTATTAAAAAAAAATCAAGATAATCGGATGAGTGATAAAGATTTTTATTTTCACATTTATACATTATATATATATATTAAACGGTATGTATTTTATTGTTTGAGCTTTAGGACATGCTCATGTACACGTGATGTGCGAGATTATTTTTATTGATGAATTTCTCGAAACCACTGATATCTACAAGCAGATATCAAACACGTAATTTGACGAACAAAAAGGTAAGATTACAGGTAGCTGGAAACTAACGGGCCGCCGCGCCGGACTTAGGTATACAATTTACACATTTATTTAATTACTTATTATTAACTAATTTTATCAGACAAAATTTATGTCTATGACACTCAAAAATAATGTGGCTTTTTATTGGTAAAATAATTTTCAAAATCGGTTCAGTTGATCCAGAGATTATCCACTACAACCTCACAAACTTTATCTTTTTATAAAATAGTATAGAAATATAGAGGTATAGATTGCCAATCATCATAAGCTAATATACAATTAAAAATGTTTAAATAAAGTAAATTATACTTCCAAGCAATAATAAAATAGTATCTACTGATAGTTCAGTTTGAAGTATTATAGTAAAATTATTCGAGTTAAAATGCTAATGAGAAAATGAGAAAATTCTATGAAATATTATTTAGTCTAAACAATTCCCCAAAATGTATACAATATTATTGATTTTTTTTATTTATTCATTTTGAAAGGGTCTTATACTAAGAAAGTTATAATTCTGGGTACACTGTAATTTCTTTTTACAATATTTATAATATCTATGATTCATGTAAAATTGTAAGGTGCAAGAGATCACGGTAAAAGCTAGACGCAGTATAATACAATATCTTTGGATAATGTACATCATATCATAATAATAGTAATAAAATAATAACTGTTGAGAAAGATAAGATCGTAAAATATTATACGTAAATATACCATCTAAACAGTAATCTCGTTTTGTAAGATTATTATAATAATCTCGTAACTTCCATTGTGTATGTGTGTGTGTGTGTGTGTGTGTGTACGACTTTAGGTCGACTAAAAAATGATGATGACGAAAACCGATGGGTTCTCCAAGACTTGAAATTGCATAACAGAGCAGTTCTAGGTCATCAGCCGGTCAGGTGAAACGATCAGCGGATGGCGACGTCCGCTCTCAAGTTCACGCACCATTATTCGTGTGGAAGGAAACGTATCGCTGCCGGGACCGTTGGCGGTCGTGCATCCCGAAGTTATCGCACCACCATGACGTAACAGTGGAGGCTGTAAAAGCAACAACGGCAATCCGGGGGAAGCATCGACTGCCGTGGTCCATATAAAAACCTCAGGCCGACTCTGTTCCGACGTCAAAACTTCACCTCTCACCGGCGCACTTATAACCCGATCGCATCGCTAACACATTGCACCAAAGCCGCACGTATCGCGTCGTTTCTCGTCTCCACCGATATTGTGGTATACGCACTGCTTCAGAAGACTGTAACGACGATCGCTGACCAACAGTACCATAAAGATATCTATACATAGACACCTCCGTAACCATATAACCATGGTTGGCACAAGACACTTGGTGAGTACAAATTTGCAAAACGATAAGACCACGCGCAGTATAGATTTTTTTAAACTAATTATTTTTTTTTTTAATCTTGCGGACATGATTATCGGCTCATTAGTCAAAGCATAATTATTAATTTATTATTTCAACTCCTATAAGTTGCTATTGAATGACTCGTACGTGAATTTAGTTTTAGCTTCCAAAAATCGAATATTTATTTTGTTTATTTAGATGACTGTCATTGGTTATAGCTCATACATAATATTACTTCTATAATTAGTATAAACATAACATATAGAAATGTTTACAAATATATTTAAAAAATAAAAATAAATCTTAAAATCAAATACTTATACGAACAGAATTATAGTAATTACTTTTATGATTTGCAACCATGACTAACTTTTTTTATTTTTGGACATATTTTTTATGTAAACACATAAGTATGAACACCAATTTTAACAGTATTGGATTTACATTGACTTTTAATCATTTCGTCGAATCTATCTCCAGTTTTTGTCTTTACATCAAATATATGTTCAGAAATAAAAGGTGAAAATTCACAAAATTATTCATTGTAAGTGCATTGTTTGTGTTACATATTTCAATTGAAACAAAACGAAAAATGATAGATAGATTAATTTTAATCCGATAGTATAATATATTATATTCACTTGAGTAGCTCACTTGATTTTCCAATATCATCACAAACTGTTTATTTTATCACAAATTTATTGCGATAACTATGCGTTAATATTAAGTGGAAATGTTTAAGAGGATTATTGTCGTAATAATGTGTTTTCTGTTACCACTAAACTACGTACCTATGAATGTTGAATGAGCATGTTTTTATAACACTGTATCTATTTGTGTATCAATAATTTAAAAGATTTCAGTCGTTCAACTCACCAACGACAAACGACTTAAATACGCGCAAATAGGATATAGCATTTTTAAAGTATCAATAACCGTTAATAATAATTGAAAAATTGATAGCGTCCCGACCATGCATTAATTTAGGTCGAGTTGGGCTACCAACTAGCTGAGATTAAATTTGGTTGATAGATATATATCGACAACAACGTTTCGCTGCGTCTAAGGCTAACCTAACCTAATACGTGCTCAAACGCAATACTTTAGAATTTGTCACAACTCATAACGTTTTACTAGTGTTTAGTAAATCTCTTTCAAACAAACTCCATTTAAGTTATTACCGTTAAGATTACATAAATTAGGTACTATCCAAATAGTATGATTTCGCATACAGTAATAATTTTCACTCGTGTTACCAAACACTGTATTCTACGTATACGTACATATAACATATTACCATAATATACCAACACACCGTTTGTCCACTAAAACTAGATCCACTATTCGTTATCCAATCAACTTGACTAATGATTATCCATGACGTGTAGCTGTATATACCGCGCGCGATTGTTATTGTTAAAGTCAGCTAATACTTAATAGTATATTATTGTAATATAATGCGTTTTGCGGTTCACAGGTATTTTTGGCCGCGTGCGTCCTGTACGCAAGATCGTCAGCAGCCTCTCCAGTCTATCAAGAGGACGATCACTTCGACGGACATCTCCATGAACACCATCACGGACCACCACCTGCCACATCGTACGCCACCATATCGACAACGCACGTCAAAGTGCAACACCCGCCGGCAGCGCCTACTAAGTACGCGACGCCATATAAAGTGAGTACCTATAACAATGATGTTGACATTAAACACGTCTCTATCAATACGAAAAAAAATATAAATAAAATAACTATTCAAAAACACGATATTATGTCGATGAGATGAGCAGAGGCGTACGCTGTTATGTAACCTAACCCGTTTGTCGACTTAAATTAAATTGTTATTCGGAGTATTATCATTGTAATCGTATTGTGCGTATTATAAATATTATGTATATGACTCCGCGTACGGTATTTGAGCCGCACGAGTACGAATAAATTTATTTATTAGACAATAGGCGGTAGTATAAAAATATTGAAATTCTCGGCACATAATATGGCATAATAAAATATCGTTATATACGTATTATGTATGCATAATAATATCATAAATGCGATGGTTTTGTAATGCGCATAAAATATATTATATATATATAAATAATATAATTATGTCCTCCCTGTATACGGCCGCGGAACGCCGTCGGCGTATATACATACACATGAAGTAGGAAGTATATATATATATATACGGTTATACGTGTGTATATCCACCGCACGCAGATACACATATAATAATATTACACCCATTACCCATACAAATAAACACAAATATACGTACCGTCGTGTATACTCTTGCGCACGAAACGGACGCCTTTCTCCTGCGAGTTGCATAAGTTTGGCTGCGCGAGGAGACGCGAAGTCGTTAAACTCGCCACCGCATTACGATTGTTTTTTTTTCAACTCGTTCACTTTCCAAGTTCGACAAACGCGCCCGTGAGATTATTCCGTATATATATATATATAGCCTCGAAGGTTCGGTTATCGGACTCGATCGTATATATTAGACACACGCTACGCCGACGGGAGAGCACCAGCTATTATGTATTATTATAATATTTACCTATTATAAATACGATCAACCAATACATATAGACAGACCTAAATATAATAATTCGTGGAGATAATATTTCGTACAGTTATATTAAATTTATAGGCATTCAATGAGCGAGTAAATACAACAGTAGGTAACAGGGTGATTCACCATGAATGCTCACCATAATATATTTGTTCTTTAATAATACATTTATTCAAATTATGATTTTTAGAATTATTATATATCTTTAAAAACCATATTTTCAATTTTTATGATTTATTTTACTACTTAAAGAGTATCCTAGATGATACGAACTTTTGTTTTTCATAATAAAACCCCATAATTTACAAATTACAATAAATTATTATGTGGAAAATTTTTTTGAAAACGTTGTCATATTAAAATCAAAATTTGAACTAGTTGTTTTTGAGTTATTTAACAGGTCCATGATAATAAGCTTGGAAGTTATGAAAGTTATGAATCATAAAATTATTTGAAAATGTTAGTAATTATATTCATGTTCTGCAAACGTCAGAATTTAGATAATTGCGTTATTGGAAAAAAAAGGGGTGAGCATGTTTGGTGGATCACAATGTATAATATACGTACTTGGATTTTTCGTATACCTATAGGTATTTACACTATTAGTCTATAGGGTTTTCAAAGTATATGTTTCTTTCAATATTTTCGTTTGGAGTCTGATATTCGTAAATTATTTATTTGATGATCAAGTTTATTCACGTAGTTAATGTTAATTGTTTTATATTATAAGATAATTTGGACTTTATAATAAAATTTTCTATACTCTTATTTCAAAATTAAAATAAAAAATTATATTTTGTTTCAAAAATGTTAAAATTTATTAATTGATTTTTTCCATTGATTGTATACTGGTTCTAGTCTTCTGTCAATGTTAAACAACATTAACCTGGATGATGTTTTTAAATTTAAAATAAATATAGAAACTTGACTAGGTGATTGTTATAATTTGAAAAAAACCTTTTGGCGGTATCAAACACGGTGGACAACTATATAATAATATATTGTATTTATCATTACATTGTGACATTGACGAACGTATATGTGTATATTGTTATTATGTGCATTGTTATTAGCGAGCAATTATTTCTTTTGCTAATGACTTCCCATTACACACCTCTCTAAAATTTATAATTTATGCTATAGTTTTGTATAAACTGATTACGCGGACGATTACGTACAAAATATATTAATGAGTTCATAGTTTTAATTGATACAGTAATACACAAGATCGTTGACTGGATATTAACTTTCGATGTAAAGATCCAAGTTCATTATAAAAGTTATTATATTTTGAAACTTTCTGACTGTTTAATTATAGCTCAATTTGATTCGTATGATAACCGGTACATTAAATTATATGTAATTAAAAATATATGCTCTTCTATAATGAAAAATTATGACTTATGTTTTAATTATAAGGAACCTTGTATTAAACTGTCAAGGTGTTTAATTGACTTACGAACTAAAATTATATCACTCATAAATCGTAAAATAAAATAAAAAAACGTCCAAAATGTAGTTATATAAAATGTACAAAAAGAATTAAATTATTTTGAAAATGATACTAAGTCTATTAAATTTAAATATGACTATTTAATGGAAATGTCATGTTTCATGGTTGTTTATTTTGGAATTACACTAAAAAATAAAATTGTTTCTTTTAAAAACTGATTTTACGTAAAAATTCTCATTTTTATTTTCTTTTCTTCTTTTTGTTTGTTTTTTTTTCAATTATTTTACTGTAAATTGTTAACTGTAAATTTCAATTTTGTCTTCCTAAGAACTACAATAAAATTAAAATAATTTTAGCCTAAAGATCAAAGTATGTTTTCTATAATAAAACGTGTGAACATGCATAAGCACATACATACATGCACACACATCATTGTAAAATTAATAAACACATCGCTCAGAATCTAAAAGAAGACATCAAAGTGTTAATATATTCTTATTAGATAACTGTTATTACTTGTTATATTATTAATATTACAAATTTTCTTTTCTTTATAATATTATAAATTACTTTCATCTATTATTATTAAAACAAATGTATTACAATATATGTTATCACTATTATCAGTAATCATTATATCAAGATATTAAATTAATGATAATAAAAATAAAAATAAATCCATTATGATTTAAATATATTTTGTATGCTTTCCATTTATCACTATAAATAATGATTTCCAATTATATTTAATATTTTCCAATTAAAAAGTTCCAATTACTGAGTCACGGTTAAAATAATTTAAAATTTCTTATTATCGTGTAACTTAAATTTTTATTAGTACATACTATGAATTATAAAACTTTATTTAAATATACAATATGTTATCTTAAATTGTATATGGAAACAAGAAATAGCCAACTAAGTAATATTTTATGACGAATTCCATTTTTTGAGAATTCATTAAATAGAATGTACAAATTATGGTACAATAATCACGTAATTATATAATAATAGCAATCATTATAAAAAATAAAAATAATAGTAAACATATAGACTGATTGCTGTTTATATTTATTGATCAAAATTTTGTGAAGTTGTGAGGAAAAGTTAAGTTATAAATACTTTGTTTGGAGGGTACCATCGCTGGATGATTTCCCTCATCTTATATTTCATGTGATATTTTTATTATGTATGTAGTGTTATCTGTCATCTTTTTTACTTATTGTGTTATGAGATACAGATAGTAAATTTTCTAAAATAAAAAAAAATACTTTGTATGACACATAAATGAAAAATTTAAATAATGTATTAGACTTTCGCATGTACAAAAAAAAAAAAAAACATTCATCATTGTAAAATCAATACATTCATCGTTCCGCTCAGAATTTAAAACATTATTTAGCATATTTTTAAATTATTTAAATTAGCTGCTTAGTAATAATTAATAACATTCTATATGTAAATTATTTCCATTTAATATATATATGTTATAATAACATTATGGATATTAAATATCAAACTATATAATTATTTTTGAATTTTCTAATAAAATCTATAATTCAAAAATACATACTATAAAATAATAGTTTAAATTTTTAAATAATACATAAATATAATTAATTATAATTATATTATAACTTACAAAAAAATATATCACTCTTTCTATTTCATTATTTTGTCGCAGGCTAAAACAAATGAGTATTGGTAAATGGTAATAATAAATTGAATAATTACATTTTGAAGAAATTCTAGCATTTTAAGTTAAAAATAAATAATGGATTAAAGTATATTAAAGTAAAAACGGTTAACTTGTGACATTATTTATTATATCAAAAAACTGAACAGCACATAAATGTTTAAGATAAACTATTACTACCAACTTTTTTCATAAAAGTTGGCTTTTGAATTTTTGATATTTTGGTTTCGGGATATTTTGTCAGACATTTTTTTATCAAATATTTTTATTGATCATTGTTTTTGTTATGTTTTACACACAAATATGGTGGAAACGCATGTAGGACCTGATTGTAATATTAAGATGATTTGTATAGATATAAATTATTTATCTTCGCAATGAAAGATTGGATAACTTTGCACTCTTGTATACTGATATTTATTATTAAAGTTTGGATGTTTGTCTTTTCATAGCAGGAGTATCTGACGCAACCGCAGGTGGCGTACAAGTATATATCACTGCCGTCACCCGTTGCCCTACAGCAATCCGGTAAATTCGAAGAGCCTTCCACACCGGGCTACAAGTATCTGGCTGCGTCGCCCACGTACAAGTACGTTCAACCGCCGGCGGTGACCACCGAACCAGAAGCCGCGGAAGAACCGACCAACTCGTTGAAGTATGCGCTCAAATATGAACAGAATTCGTTCAAACAAGAACAGGAACAGCAGCAATTTCAGCAGCAAGAATATGAACAGCCGACTATTCAGTACAAGTACATAGCCGTGCCTTCGTACAAGTATGTGCAACAAGTGGCCGCGGAACCAGAATACGGTCAACACCATCAGCAACAACAACAGGTTGCCAGTTCTTACGACTACACTGATGACAAGCAATAATGATTAGTTGTAGTAAATTATAATACCGGTGATTATGTTAAGTCCCAATACCTAGGCAATAGTGTAGTGAACTTAAAAACTATCAGAGGCGATCATATTTTTTTATCCAATATCACCACTTAACATCGCTAAACATTATAGCTTTAATTATCTACTAAAGTTTGCAATAAACCGCATCCGACGAAACACAATATGATGACACTCACTTGAAATAACTTCTTAGTCGCCTCTCAAATGTACCTCCTTCGTTACGCTATTGCCCAAAATTACCTGCGATTTACTATGTCGCTTACCATTTTAGCCCACCACTTCGATCTATACTCTTACAACATATATATCATTTATACATGTTTCATTTTTGTGAGTGATCATTAAAAAAAAACAATGTAATATTACGTTAGTATGTAACATAACGTTTGTGGTTTAATCACGCAGAGACCATCTCTGACTATACATCTTTCTTTCTGTGTCATCCGTTATTAAATCACACCAATAATTATATTAAGTATTATATTATTGTATAATTTTCTCTATGTTACCTACACGTGGTATCCTGCCATATTTTACGCATCTCTTTACAAATTTAGAGATTTAATGGCTTGTTATATTATATAATAAAAATACGATTAAATTTTGTACTTAAGTTATAGTATAATTTTTTTTATATACTCGTACAATATAATATAAACAGTACTTATGGCTATATATATATATTCTATTATTTTTATAATGCATTGCAGTTTCACGAAAATGATTACATAACTTTGATATCATGCAGCTAAATCTAATATTTAAATCAAATTGTGATAGTATTATACCATATAAAGATTTATTTTGAAATTACAAATTGTAGTTTCGGCTGAGGGTAAGTTGCGGTCCGACTTGTCGTTTCCGGTGTTGATAACCGGTGAATTGCGGCCCGGTAATATTTTAGGTATAGGTTAGTTGCAGCCCGACAATATCTTAGCTACAGGTGAGTTACGGCCCGAGTAATAATCATTACCTAAGTTATATATACATAACTATAAATGAAAGATTCGTCATGTATATGGGAAGTTATATTTTTATATAATATAGATCAGTGATTCCCAACTTTTTTGCTGCTACAGACCACTTTGAGAACTTTCGATACGTCACGGACTACCTTAATGAAAATCAATTTTTTCACACATTTTAAAATTTAGATTATAAATAAATAAAAACAATGAAATTTCTTACAACAGTCTTTAATGTTTATAATTGATAATGTTTTACTAAAGCTTAAAATAACTAACAATTTAACGCAAATTACTATTCTAAAAAAATGTAAATTATAATATTATATTTATTTAAGGTTGTATTATTATTATTATATTATTTTATTAATACAATTTTAAATTTAAATTAATATATTAGTGGTATACATTTATACTTAAACTAAACTTAAAAAAAATTGTTATCTTTTGTTAGATTTGATAAAACAGAGCTAAAATAACTACAACACAGGCATGTCGGCACAGTAACTTGGTAACATACTAGCATATTATTATATTATATTAATTATAATATTTTTCATGATATTTATGTGGAGATCTTACAATTATACACCCACCCAGACTTGGCTACTAACCCATCTATTTCAGACATGAAGCAATTGCTTCAAATAATCTTACATCCCACTGCCACGTATATATATGTAATAAATATACATTATTGTATGACCGACCGCAATTCGTACGTACCTCTCATAAACCCAGGCTGCAATTCGTAAGTTTCTCTCATAAACTCGGGCCCCAAATCGTACGTTATTTTGGGACTGGGCCACAACTCACCAACACCGGTAGTTTCTATATTATACAATGGTTGATACAATAGTACCTACAACAAGGTTGGGTATAAAGGAAGGATACAAAGGGACTAACCCCCCCCCCAATACATTTTTATATTTTTAACATGTTTAAAAGTTGTATCTCTTTATTTTATTTAATAAGAATATCTTCTTTATGCGGTCGTCAGATAGCACGATCTGATATCGACACAACTAATACTAAGGAATTTTATAGAATAATTTATTTTTACCTTTTATTGATTTATTTTTACCATCAAGCACATCTTCACAGAATGTAGAAATAACCAACAAGAACGTATGGAAACCCTTGGAGCAACCCACTTACACGAAATCCTCAGCCCGGAACCAACCGCAACTCAAAAATTATTTATTTTTCTAAAAAATTCTACCTTATTCAAAGAAATATAACCTGTATATTGTAAAAATGTATGTAAATATGTAGCTATGTAATTTATTTTAGTCACTATCTGACCAATGGCCATAGCTGCCGCGGTCTTTTGTTCTTCTAATTAAAAAAAAAAAAAAAGAGATATCCGAACTTAAAACAAGATTTAATGACAAATTTGGTGAAGTTATGCCCCTGTTTTATATTAACAACTTTTGATAAATATGACGAAGCAAGTATATTTAAAGCAGTGATAGTATACCTACATAATATATTGTAAAAATATATAAATAAACATGTGATCAACGATGATTGGCAGTTTTTAATATTATTTTTTGAACCCTATGACTATTGCTTATAGTATATACATGTACTATAAATAATGTATATATTTCTTTTGCATTTGTAGATTTGTTCTTGTCTATATTGTAAATTAAACTAATTCCATGTATAAAAAAAATAACGCAATTAATTGATTAAATATTTATGATATATACGTTTTATTTTGCTTAAACCAGATTTGATTTACTGAAATATTATAGATAAAACATGTTGTGTTTTATGAATTATGAATACATATAATTAGCTGAAATATTTGGAAATAATTTATTATTATAATTTATAGTCTAAGTATTTTCTAGCAGTGGTAAAATAACAAATCTTAAATTATTATTGTACACATATCTTATGAAAATGGTTTTTTGATAATAATATCAGCTTATATTCAGTCCTATTAATCAATTATTAGGTATATAGTTCAGTGTTATAACATTTTATTTTTAAAATAATTACTTTTATATATAATATATAAAATACACGTATCATTTCATTTTAATGTCATATATATTTAATTAACTAATGATAGTATAACCATAATTATTTGGATATTTAATTTTACTAGACGAAAAATCCGTAGTAATTCAAGTGTATTATTACTTTTAAGCTTTAAATCATTTTAAGTAGTTATGTCAAATCATATTTTCTATTACATTGATAAAAGCATAAAAATAATTAAGTATTGTGTGTTCATTAACTAAATAATGAAGTATGTGGTTTTTAACTTTTACTTATAAAACGTGTGGTTTTTAACAATGACCCTCGTTTTTGTTTCTAGTTAACCAAACCTCAGATATTTTTGTGACGATTTGTGACAGTTATATGCGTAAAAAAATAACTCGAAAAAATAAAATCAAAAACGTGTGCATCGAAACCTTCATTGTGCACAATATTTTTAATTAAATAAAATGTTTTTACTGATAATGACTAATTGACATACATTTAAACCTTATTTGAATTCGGCATAGCTATGGTTTATTTTTTATTCAAATCAAAATAAAATTACGTTTGTCTGAATATAGAATGACGGTGATTTTCAATTATTATTGTTACTGGTCCAAATTTTGTGAGTTACAAGCACGGTAATTACAGTCAGAATATTATTTTAGTCAAATCGAATTATTCATTCATTGTCTTACAAATATTTTAATGTACTTCAAACTCAATCTGGTATCTATATAAAATCTGTTTTAAGGCTTTTTAGCTATAAATTACAGGTTAACCAGTAGGAGCAATATAAAATACAAAAATTAATACAAGAATGTTTATTATTTTTACTGTACATCCAAACTTTTATAATTGGGTCTTTGCACAATTATTTAGCTATATATTTAAGTTATCCTTACGAAATAAATATGTATACTAAAATATTATTTTATACAATAGCTAATGCTGATTATTATTGCGTATATGTGTATATTTAGTACCTATATATTGTAAATAGATTATACATCACGGGCAAAGTATATATTTTCTTAATGTTTAGATATTGTCCGATTTTGATAGACAAAAACAAACTAGTGCATAACCATTGTGAACCATTGATAACAAATACATTTAAATTTAAAATAATGTTATCATAGTAAATTATTAAATATTTTGACTGGCTGTAAATATAATATTATAATTTAAGACTTGGACACTCATGCTGTTACTTATTAAAATCATTAATATTTATTCGTAGCAATATTCAGCAATGATATGTAACATTATTACTATATGTATTAGTAGTTATCATTGTGAAAGTAATTTATTTAATATAATATAATCATATAATTATGTTGTACAACATTTGATTTATTGATATATTGCTTAACGTTAAATCTTAACGATTTACTTAACTCCTAAGTATTTAATAATGACTCAGTAAATAAATATTTAAATAGTACGCAAACAACTGTCAAGCAAAAAATTATAATATATCTTAATAATTAGATAAACCTAGTTTTTAAATTCTTAACGATCGTAAATGTTAAGTGTAATACTTGTCGTCTAGACATAATTTGATAAGTTATTCTGGATTTTGTTAATGTAATTTATTACTATTATTTATAAGTTCTTGACTTTTAATTTTGCGATAAAGCGATGGCAACAAATAATTAATGCTTACGTAAACGAGTAGACTTTAATCAATCAGAAATATTTTACTGGATGATATTATATCATGTAAGTCATATGATATGACTTATATATCGATTTTTGCAACTGAATACTGATATAATATTAGCTTTGATATTTTATATAATTATATACATAAAGGTAATTTGATCAAGTATACTCATGAACCATTATTTTATAATCCAGTGAAATATAGATTGTGGAGGACTAAATGTCGATAGATCTAAATTAAATTATTCTATAATATTTTATGATTAAATCTCACCGCAGTGATTTGATGAAGACTTATCTACAATATTCTTATTTAATACAAGAATTATTATTTTCGTTGAATATTCAAGATTAAAAATCATTTTATATATTTATTAAGTTTCCCATAATTGTTTATAGATTTTAATGAAGCGATGATTTTTTTCATTTTACAATAATGCGTGTTATTTTATTTTTTTATCTGCAATCACATTTTGAGGAAGTAAAAATATTTTGATATCAAAAATGGGAATTATTTCTGATAGTAAATTGAATCTAGTTAAATATAGTTAAAAAATAAGGAAAAACGAAAATTTGTATGAAAATCCAATTTTTAATAAAATCGATTTTGTTTTTTTAGTTTAACACAAAAAAGAATAACTGTAGATATTTGAATTTTTCACCAGATTTATATAAATATTTTCTATTTAAGATTAACTTTTCAAAATATTTTGACTATTTTTGAAGTATTTATAAGCATGATAAATTTTCAATTTTTTTTTTTTTAGAAATGTTAACTAAAAATTATTTGTTGATTAGAAATGCTTGGAAATCTAGTGCAAATTTTACATTAAACATTAGTTA